ACAGGTGGAATTGTACCTGGTGGGGCCAGGGGAGACACAGAGACCTTTTAAGAAATAGAAGGTCTGAAAAGAGGGGGAAAAGACACAATTTGTCAGTCAAAGCAGAGCATTCTGGAAAACAGTGGCAGGTCTCAGGAGCCACTCTTCATTCCAGACAAGGAAATGTTTAGACTTCCAGTAATAGATGGGAGCAGGAGGGAAGAGAAGCAAGGCAGGAGGAAAAAATTACAGATAAATTTGAAATTCACAGGACACAGCAGGGTTTATTCCTGAATAATAGCATTAGGAGAGGACTGCGAAAGACACAAGCAAAGTAAAAGGTAAGATAACATCTCCCAGCACAAAACTAATTCAAGAACTGAAAAGCAAGGCCTGCCTTAAACATTGAAATGAGCTAAACCCAACAAAATTACTTGTGCTCAAAGAGGCCCAGACTGTAAAAACGTGCATGAATTAAAGCAAGGAACCCATCCCATAAAAACCAAAGAGCAAGAGAGCTGCCAGACCCACAGAGCTCACACGGTCTGCTCACCAGCACAGCTCCACACCCCACTGAAGATGCTCACCTAGGAGGCAAAGCCCTCACCTGGGCTTAAATAGGAGGGGGGGTCACACCCAACCCCTTCCCCCCTTGACTCCCAGCCTTAGTTCCAACAGGTTCTAAAGTTCCCTTACTCTTTTTTTTTAATTTTCCCAGGCATTTCCAAGCCCTTGGGAACAGGATGTGGCTGTGCTCCTGTGTGCAGGTGGTGGGTGATGAACTTCACTTTGGTAATTGCCATTGGATGTTTAAAATAAAGCTCAAGATTTACACAGAGCAGCCGTGGACAAGACAAACTGACCTCTGCTTAGAAGTGGTGATGCCAAGTGGCAGAAAAACCAGGCTGGGTTTGTGTATAACTCACAAATGACAATACTGGTGCTGTAATTTCCCATTTTATTTGATATTGAGCAGTTAGGGGTGAAAAATTACCCCCCTTTCCCACTTGTGTGCTGTCTTCAGCTGGCTGAGTGGTGCAATTAGCAGTTTTACAGTGGCTGCAGATGATTTGAACCATCCCAGGCACAGCTGATCAGCCTCTGCTGGAGCTGACATTCCCCAGCCCTGCTCGTGTTTGCTGCCTGGGAGGGAGCTCTAAAGGGGAATTGGTCACACAGGCAAAACACAAGAGCAAATATCCATTAAAAACAAACTAATCCCAGCCAGGAGCGTGAAGGCAGGGCCTAAATATCCACTGCCAGCAGCACCAGTGCTGTGGAATGTAAAAAAAATCAAAATGGATGCATTCTAGGCTTCTTTTATTTCCATAAAAACCCCTGAAATCTACAATTTTGGACGCCAGATCTGGTTCAGCATCCTGAACTTCGCCGAGCTCTGGTGGCTCCCTGAGAGCAGAGAACAAAGGAGGAGCACTTGGCGAGGTAAATCCGTGTGTGCAGCCAGAGCTGGGGCCAGAGCAGGACAATGAGCCCCGGCTGCCTGCTGATGTGCTCCAACATCTGCTCTGCTCGATAACAGGCAGGGCTCTGTGCCTTGGTGGCACTGCAATGTCACATTGCCATGGCTCGGAGGGCCTCACTCTGTGTCTGCTGTGCTTTCACAGCTTTTCAAAGCCTTTTTTTGTTTATTATTTCTTTTTCAGCTTCAACGGAAGTAAAACTCAGAGGCAGGGAAGAATTTCTTTGACTATTGGAAACTTCTCTGAACTGATGCATGATTTTCACATGTGACAAACTCAGATGACAGCATGTGCAGAGTGTCACACAGCCCTGGCTGAAAGCTCTGGTGGCTTTGGGGACGTTGATGCTTGGCAAAACAACACAACTGGAAGGAAATTGCATCCCCATTGTGTGAGGGAATGTCAGGCACCGCAGCACATGGATTTCCAAATCCTGCAGATGTTGCAGGGATTTATTTCAGTGTTCTGTGCAATGGGAAGATGCTCAGCCATCAGCTCATCACGAGGTCATTGGGATATTTCTGACATTTAAAGTGTAGAATTTAAAATGTAGATTTAAAGAATTTCCTACCCTTGAATCATGGTGAAATATGGAAACATATGAAATAAATATATGAAATATTTTAGTTCAAAAGGCCCAACTTTGACCCATTTGAAACAACCCAGAAAATCTCCTGCATGTGAGATACCACACGAGATGGTAACATAACACACACAACTGGAGGGAGGAAAATCCTCCTGCCAGAGCAATCTCATCTCCTTCCTTTACCAGGCTTACTCTTTGTTCCAAAAGCCTTTTCCAATCTCTGCTACTTTGATATATTTAAAAGGGCTGTTCTAAAAAAAACATACACTTCTTTTTTTGACAAATAAAAGGAAATAATCACAGCTCCTCCAAAGAGCCGGGCTCAGCTGTCAGCCAGGATTGTGCTGCAGGATGGAATGCTGCACAGCAGCACCATTACAGAGCCTTCCATGGCATCATTGCTTACAAGGAGCAGGCTGCAGGCAGTTCAGGGCATCACTCTTTGTGTTTGGGGCTTTTTATTGCAGAGTTCAAGCTGTTAGCTCTTTACAGAGCTGTTCCTTCCAAATGGCAAAGCCTCTTGGTGTGTTTGGTGTGGCACCAAAGCCAGGGATATCACCCTGGTTCAGCACAGATCTGGCATCACAAGAGGAGGACACCACAGGGCTGAAAAATCTTCTCCTCAATGAACAGGAAGGGTTTTCCACCACTGAGCTCTGCAGCTCTGGTTTTCCAACTTGGTCTTGGAAACTCTGCCTGGCCCCAGGCTCAGAAGCCACAGGCCCAGGACTCTCAGTTGTTAGTTTGGTGTGGCATCAAAGCCAGGGATGATCACCCTGGTTCAGCACAGAGCTGGCACCACAACAGGAGGAATGGTTGTCCATTTTGTGACCATTTTTGACTTCATCTAGGGTCTACCCCTGGCTAAGCTCTTGTGCTGCCCAAGGTGGATCTGTTGAAGCCTCCTAATAATCCCTACTTTATTCTTTAGCTCTGTCTAGTTTCTCTTCTAGGTCAGCCTTCTCAAGGCATCAACTACAGGGCTGAAAATCTTCTCCTCAAGGAACAGGAAGGGTTTTCCAGCACTGAGCTCTGCAGCTTTGCTTGTCCAGCTGGTGCAGAACATGGACTTCACCTTGGAAACTCTGCCAGGCCCGTGTCCCCAGGCCCAGAACTCTCAATGGTTAATCTGGAGTGGCATCAAAGCCGGGGATAATCTGCCCCCATTCAGCACCGAGGAGGAGAACACTACAGGGCTGAAAATCTCCTCCTCAAGGAATAGGAAGGGTTTTCCACCACTGAGATCAGCAGATTTGCTTGTCCAACTTGATCTTGGAAACTCTGCCTGGCCCCATCCCCACACTGAGGAGCCACAGGCCCAGGACTCTCAATGGTTAAAGAACATTTCCTGCAGCACAGCTCCTGCTCAGAATCCTCCTCAGCAGAATTAGATAACCAGCTCATGGTCACAAATGTGATTGAGGCTGATTTCCCTCGGGGTTACTTATTGAAGCCTTTTCCCTGTCTGAATTTGGGGGAGGCTGGGACAAAGAGTGGCAGTGAACACACCCAGATCCTTCCTAGACAGCAGCAGCAGTTGGTAACTTTGGGAGAACAAGAAAAGTAACATAAATGAGTTCAAACAGATGAGCTGTCAGTCAGCTTTGTGTGTGTTTATTTAACACCTTCAGGCCCAGGAAGCCCATGGTTTAATAGCACTGCAGACACAGCCCACCTGAGCAATAATTGGAGTTTATCGGCTCAGAGAGCCTTCTGAAGAACAGAAAGTGTTCCAGGCACCTACTTACCCCCAGTAAGCAAAGGAAGATTACACACAGACACAAGAGACTTTGTCAGCCTAAGGGCAGGTGGAAGGACAGAAGTCAAGGTGTTAAAAAGCCCATCCTTTTCCCAAAGTGTTAAATCTCATCCCCAACGTCTCTGGTCACACTCAACCCTTACTCCTCAGCCATCAGCTCTGTGCAAGATATCAGAGGCACCTGCAGGATATTTTGTTTTGCACTTTTCCCATCACCATCCCATTCCTCAAGCACTCTGCAAAGCCTAAAAAAGAATCTCCAATCCACCACCCTCCCTGCTCCCCACATACACCTCTGGGCACACTTTGTGGAGTCAGACCTTGCTTAAAAAGCTCATTTGAAAGAAGTCAGTCCCTATTTCTCCTTTGAAGTGTAAAGAAAAGCACTCACTCCACAGTTTTTGCCATATTCTCTGTTCTCATTTATTCCCAGCAATTAAAACACACTCAGTTTGGGGTTTTGCCATGATCTTTAAAAGTGTATTTTATTGGTAGCACAGTGGGAGGAACATTAAAAGTCAGTAGATTTCAGCTGCATACACTGACTTCTGCATTCTGATCAAGACTACATTTTAACTTCTGCATAAACTGCACAGGTCACACAAACACTTCCACTACTACAAGAGATACAGAACAAGCCAGAATTAGGATTTCATCATCTTCCTGTGAAAATTTGTTCAACATTGACAAGAAAGCAGGAAGCATCAATACAAGAGAATTATTCAGGGAGGTAGTTTAAATGTTTCATTATTCTGAGGTAGCAGGAGAAGTGGCTGTTGGCCTCACAGAAAACATCTGACTGCACACAATTAGAGGAGCAGTTTTCTATTCTGTTCCCAGACTCTTCAGACCAAGGGATGAGACCTCCCAGGACCAAACCTCACTGGGGGAATGCAGCAGCATCAGCTCAGTGAGATCCTGGCTTGGGTGAATCAGCGAGGCATGATCTGAAAAACACCTACTGGGAAAGGCAAGAAACAGATCTGTGACTGAACAATCACTCAGGAGAACACTGGAAAGCTCTGTAAAAACTTCACAGATCTGTCTGACAGGAGTTCCTAAAGTCTGGGACACATTCTGCAAAATCCTGAGTCCAACAGCTGGGGCTGTTGGGGGTTAACCCCTTCCTGAGGGCAGGAGCCTCATCCTTGTCCCTGCACAGATGTGACCCCAGGCCACCTGAGGACCAAACATCTCAAGCTTCAACTTTCTCAGCCTCTACTTCCCCACTGCTCCCAGGCACTTCAGGCAGTGAGGCGGGCACAAGTGGGAGCTCAGCTTCTTGCTGTACAGGAACAAAAGTCTCTGGTTCTTCTGGAAGCTCCACTGCTGGCTGAATGATCCCATCCTGCAGCTCTGCCTCGGGTCCTGGGGTGCAGCCCCTGCTCCCCTCCTGTCCCAGCTCACACAGGGCTCCATCCTGGGGCTGCTGCAAGATCTCACTCACTCCTGCAAGCCCTGCACAGCACAGGCTCCCCACGGCCTGGGCGGGTGGCACAGTGCCCTGCATGTCCTCCATGCCCTCCTTTAGGAGATCCAGCAGCTGGCTTGGTGGCTCCAGAGACGCCCACTGTGGGCACAGGGGCTGCCAGGACACCACAGAAGAGGAGTAGAACTCAGCCACCCCCCTTGTTATGCCCTCTGAAGGGCTCTGCAGGGTCAGGAGAGACATGGCTTCCACCAGACAGCTGAGCTCAGCCCTTTGGGCAGCCTGGGGGCTTGTCTCAGCAGCTGCAGCCCTGGCTGTGCCCTCCACGGGCTCGGGCCCTGCCACCTGCACAGCACACAGTGACACGTCCCTGCCCACAAGAGCCCCCAGGGTGTCTGCAGGAGGTTCTGGCTCAGCTTCAGCACCACTGGAGAGCTCCACGAGGCTGGGGATATTTCCCTCCTGCAGGGTTATCCCAGCACAGGGGGCTCCCTCACTGCCAGCCTCGGCCCCCAGGGCTGCGTCTCCCACGGGAACAGCAGCAACAGGTTTGATTTCCTCTCCTGCCTCGCCCACTTTCTCCTGCTGGCTTAAATCTTCAACTTCTCCTTCAGCCTCCTCATCAGCAGGGACTGCAAAGAAATCCATGGGGTTCCAGGCTGGCTCCCAGCCTTCTGCAGGGGAGCAGGGCTCTCCATTCTCCTCCAGGGCATCAGCTGAGGCCTGGTGGTCCTGGAGCAGCTCCTTGGAGCCCTGTTTGGGGACCTTCAGGGCTGGGGTGGAGGGCTGTGTGTCCAAGAATGTCCGTGTGTCCAAAAATGTCCGTGTGTCCCCGGGGCTCTGCAGGATGGGCTTGGTCTCGCTGGACTCTGTGTTTGCTGCCTCCTGCTCCCTGCACCTCTCACAGAGCACACAGCACAGCTGCTGGCTGAGGCTGCTGCCCATGCTGAAACCCCACTGCACCTGCAGGAAAAAATGGCATTTTAGCACTTTTTAGCATTGATGTTCCCTCATGTCCCAGAGTTTGGTGGTTTAGCTCCCACAGACACCTTCATACAGTGTCAAAACAGCCCCCCGCATTGGAGGGAGAGGAATGATGAGGAGGCAATCTCCATATTGCATTCTGCTTTGGCACAACAAATGAGATAAGAATTGTGTTTTTCCTTTCTCTGAGGTTCAGAGACTGTGAATCTCAGAAATCCTTGGGAAGAATCGTGCCTTTTTCTCCGTGAAGAGAAGTGTGGCAACACCTTCAGGCAGGAAGAATGGCATTTTAGCACATCGTGCCTTTTTCTCCGTGAAGAGAAGTGTGGCAACACCTTCAGGCAGGAAAAACAGCATTTTATCAATTTTTAGCATTGACGTCCCCTCATGTCCCAGAGTTTAATTGTTTAGCTCCCACAGACACTCTCAGGCAGGGCCCTGCTCCAAAGCACAGCCAAGGCCTGGCCTTTGCTTCTTCCAGCAGAACCAAACTGAGCTCCCCACATCTGGGAATGTTTGCACACCTTGGGCAAGTGTGGCAAAACCACCACTGCCCAACCTGAGCAGCGCAAGTGCAAGGGAGTTTCAGAGCCCAAACCCCAGCACTCAATGCAGGATTCCCACCAGTCACCAGGCAGGTTTGTTAATTAGCAGAGTGGCAATCAGCACCCAGGAGTAGCTGCTGTTAATTTGACAAATAGCAGTTCAGGTGCAGCAGTTTTACAAGGGCAACTCCTTCAGCTGGAAGGCAAAACTTAGTTTAGACTTGCAACTGGAAAATAGATGCAACCCCACAAAATAACAACAGACCCACCCAAGCAAATGCTCCTTATTAATTACAATAAAAGATTTGAACTGCCCACAGAGGAAATGATTTTTTTCTGATTGAAGCCACCAGTGGTGGGACAGAAAAAGCCAGTTCAGTCTGTGGACTCAACAGCATCATCCATTAATTATGTTGCACAGACCCAGGCCCAAATGTTTTGGAGCACCACATTTTCCAGCTTCAGAACAGCCCTCCAGCCTCTCCCCCAGCATTGTATTTACCACAGCTGTTAGAAACATTGAAATCTGAAGGCATTAATATAAGATATGAGTCCTTAAACACCAAAATAGTGTGCAAGCCCAAGCTTATTTTCTGCCTTCATTTTGCATCACAACAGAGTACTTGGCTTAAGAACCAGAATTCCCAATGGTCAAATAGTTTCTTCCAAATTTCTACTTTTATATTAGTATTTCCTCTAAGAAAATGACAAAAAAAACTCCAAAAGAAAGTGTTTTATGTTGTCCTCTGAACACTTAAAGGGAAATTAAACCATTAACATACTTTCATTAGAAGGAACACCAGTTCTGAGTAACAGTTTCATCATTTGAATGAAAACTAAAATTAGACCTACATACCATCATTTGAGGGCCCAAAGTGAGCTAAAAACCACACAGGATAATCCCAGCACTTTATAATTTACCTATTTTCCCACCACCATAATTAATCAAACAAAAACTGAAGAGCTGGGTTAAAAATCACGGGTAAAAGTAGATACCTACCAGCTTAGAACAAAAGAAACCACAGAACACAAGATAAAACCTCCCAGGTACCTTTTGGAGCTCAAGCTCAACCTAAATACTGCCAAGGGGTCACACAAAACCACTTCCCCCAGCTCCTGGAGCATCAATCCCCTGAACCTTTAGTTCCTCCCCACTCTTTGGGAGCAGCTGTTATGGCCCCATCCTTTATTTTACAGCTGACAGTGTTTTCCTGCTCGTTCTGTGCTGCTTTTTAGCAGCAAAGTAAAAATAAGGCAGCTTCTGTTTACAGCTGAGGAGTGACCACCAGAGATATCCTGGAATAACACAGTGGCATAAAGCAGAGGAATATTCCAGGAGCTGGATGTGGATTTGGGATTACCCATGGGTAATTTGGGAAAAAAATCAACAATCTAGGTCAAATCCAGCACTGGGAATGAACCCTTTGCCATGGGCAGTGCATTGATATTTTAACATTAAAATTACAAAAATAAATTCCATTAATGCTAAATAATTGTTAAAATAGTGGACCTAAAAGGAGCTTTTTTATTTATGGTTCACCCCCCCAGTCTCAGCTGACAGGGAAGGGGAATGACCTCTTCTGAGAAGGAATAAACATGAGGTAAGATAAAGCATTTTTGGTAAGATTTTTTTTTGCTTTTGACACCTTCTAGCTGTTTCCACAGTTCTCACAGCCTGTGAGCCAGCCCTTAATCTACTTTTATGAATGTCCTCATGACTTTATCACCTGTAAATATGATTGATTTGGGACAAATTTAGCAAAAATGCCCCTTCAGGCTCAGTCAGGTAAAAAAGGCTTTCAGTCAGAGTTGGACAAACAGCAAACAAAATTATTAAACCCAGAGAGGGCAGAGCTGCCTGCTTTAAAGCTGTTCCCTCTGTTCTCCACCTTCCCTTTATCCTTCCATATCTAGAAATATAAATAGAAGTATAAAATTATACTTATAAATATAAACATGAATATAATACCTTCCCTATTTAATACTTGTAAATATTAAATAACTTCTGTATTTTTAGTAGAATAAATCACAAAACTCTGGATCACAGCATCCATCCTGCCCCTCCAGCCACCCCCTCCAGCTGCCTGCTGGAGACAACTTTGTGTATTTTAGGAACTAGAAAATGGAAGCAAAACACTTTCAACAAATTATTGCTTTAATATCAGCACTGCGGTTAAAATGGAACAGCCACACAATTATGCTGTATAATTAAAAAACCCAGCATGATAAAGCTTTTCTGTGGCTGGACTGGAAAAAAAGAACCCAAAATGTCCTTTGGGAAAGGGACATTGTGTTGGTGCACAATGGAATTCCTTGACTTCAAGGAGAAGGAGCAGCTCCAAGCTCCTGTTTTTCAGCAAACTATTTGAGGGACTTGCAGAAAAATTGGTACAGAGTTCCCCATGGGGTAAACAGAGCATCCAGGGAGTGGTTCCTGCCCTGGAATTACAAGCACAGCTCCCAGGATGGGCAGTTTGATAGCGAGGATAATTTATTTTATATAAAAGTTTATGTTCTGTTGCACAAGCCTGGATGTTGTCAGGGTTTAAAATGGAGTGAGGGCTTTGCCTTTGTGGGGTGAGGAGCAGCAGTGATGCCTTTTCGGGCTACCTAGACAAAATTAAGGGAATAAAAAGCAGTTCTATTTATTGAAGGGCCTTTGGGTGCATTTAGGGCAGACAAAACCCACCCAAAAATGGACAATGGGTCACAGGTTTTCACACTTTTACAAGTTTGGACCATTTGCATTTTGGGGGTGAATCTTCCAATTCCAGCTTCAGCCAATGAAGTCATTGACCCCAAGTTTGTTCCCCCAACTCCCTTTTGTTTCCATCTCTCAGCCTGAGGCAGTGAGGTGTCCTTGATTGCCAGGCCTGGAGAGGAATTGTTGTGTCTGCCCCAAATGGGGAAGCAGCAGCTCCCACTGTGTGTGGAGTTTGGAGTTCTGCACTAAGGAACTGCAGGGTTACAAATAGATGGAAAATAGAAAAGCTGAAATCCTAAGGCATCAATAGGAACTCCAACACACCAAAATAGTGCTTTAACAGGTGCTTAATGGCACCAAGATTTCACCAGGCATTTCATTTCCCTTTCTCACGTCCCTAGCAGGTGGCAGAGGAATGTTCACCACATCTATCAAACACAACTGCACATCATAATCTGCTGTTAATCACAGAGCAAATTCATTAGGAATTACACACCTCCCTTATTTTAGCATCTGGACATGTGACAAACAAAGCTCATCCCACCAATTTGATTTTTCTGAGCATTATTTCCATCCAGTTTCTCTTCAGACTTCAGCACATGCAAGATGACATTGATGCCATTTAAAAATACGTGCTTGTGACTTGAATTTAAATATGGTAACTTTAGTTTTTTGACCTGCTAACATAATAAAATAAACAAGATAAGTCTCATTTTACATGTTTTAGTATTTGCATTTACACCTCTGGAGGAAGACATGCACTGGAGGGACAAGGAGTAGTGAATAGCAGACATCAGAATCTCTACAGAACAATGAAAATTATGGGTTAAAAATATATTTTTCTCCTCAAATCTTGAAGCACATCCCTCACCTAAACAGTGCATGCTGGACTGAGAGGAAACAGGGTTAACAAACAGCTGAAATAGGAAAAAAAAATGAGACGATTTAGCAGCACAGCAAGTGCAATATGGAGTTTTTAAAGATGAGACTGCTTTGAAGAAAAATGGAACTGGAGAGCCTGGGGTTCAAAACAGCTTTGAAGAATCCATGTGGCAAATGCCTTTTCAAGGCAGAATGTCAAAGTCTCACTGTGGAATTCTCAATTAGAGACCAAGACCCCTTCACCTCATCACAGCCATTACCAAGGGCTTTGGGGTTCAGCCCCTGCATGGAGGAAATTGCAGGAGAGCTGCATTAGCCCAGCTTTTAGGCTGGGCTTTTAGGCCAGGCTTTTCGGCCGGGCTTTTCTCTCCCTTCTCTTACCCAGTTCTTAGGTCTGGTTACAGCATCACAGAAAACAGGAAAAAAAAAAAACCCAGCTTTGTTGTAACTGGTGGCTGAGACAGGTGGAAAACACTCAAACTACAATTCCAGCTGCAGTTTTCCTCAGGTCCAGCACTGGTTTTCAGGCCATGAACCCACCCATGTCGGGCTTTTCTCTCCCTTCTCTTACCCAGTTCTTAGGTCTGGTTACAGCATCACAGAAAACAGGAAAAAAAAAAAACAAACCAGCTTTGTTGTAACTGGTGGCTGAGACAGGTGGAAAACACTCAAACTACAATTCCAGCTGCAGTTTTCCTCAAGTCCTGCACTGGTTTTCAGGCCACGAACCCACCCATGGTCTTCAGAAAACTGCAATTGCACCAAAACTCTAAAATCTGTAGAGATTGAATCTGAGAATCTGTAGGGTGTCCTCATGCCTACAGCCAAGTCTCAGTAGCACAAAACCTGATGCATTAAGAAGCTTCACTAATGGTGTGGAAAAATATTTGAAGCTCTATGTTCAGCTGTTGAGTTCTCCTGTTCAGTGTCCCAGAAGGCAGATACTCATTTAATACCCCAGAACAGAACCAGCTCAAACGTGCATCTGGCAGGAGCAGGCAGCTCCATCACCAAGGACAGATCCAAAGGACACTGGGAATGTCACTTTGGAGCAGTCCCTGCACATCCATCAGGTCACTCACATCCCACTGCGAAGAGGAGCACCCAGCCTGCAGTAAAGCCACATAAAATTCCTGTGGAACTCCCAGAAATTGGGAATTTTGTTGGGCAGGTGTGGAAATTCAGACATAAAGAGGCTATATGGTGACAGCTGAGGGAGAATAAGCACCAGTCCTCCCCACTGGAAATGGAGCACAGGAAGGGCTTCAGACTGAAAGAAGGGAAATTTAGGATAGCTGTTAGGAAGAAATTCCTCTCTGCAAGGGTGGTGAGGCACAGAGAAGCTGTGGCTGCCCCTGGATCCCTGGAAGTGCCCAAGGCCAGGCTGGACAGGGCTTGGAGCAGCCTGGGACAGTGGAAGGTGTCCCTGCACTTGGAACAAGATGATTTTAAGGTCCTTCCAACCCAACCCATCCTCTGTTTCTATTTCATGAGTGCAGCCTTCCAGCAGAGTGCAGAGTTTTATAGAAAAGTAAATCTGCCTCTTTGACTCCCAAACTTTTCTACTAAAAATCAGTGCAGGGACACCCTCCCCTGTGCCCAGAGCTGCTCAGGGGGCAGCACCACGGCCACAAGAGGCCTTCTGGCCATTGAACTCCATCAGTTTAAGAAACTACGTGCTGGACAGAAGACAAATGGGAAAATATTGAATTTGCTGGGAATGCCCCAACGAAGGGAGGAGAGAATGATTCATCTGACTCCATTGATATCAGAAGGATAATTAATTACTTTATTATACTATATTATTCTATATTATATGACACTATATTACATTACATCTAAACTGAATCTTCCAAGCACTCAACCCTGCACTCATCTCGTGACCATCAGCCCTCAGTCCCAACTCACACACACCCCTGGCCCTGACAGGCCAAGGAAACAAAACACCTTCACTCTGGGTGAGCAATCTCCATATTGCATTCTGCTTTGGCACAAACACAGGCACAGCAAATGAGATAAGAATAATTTTTCCTTTCTCTGAGGTTCAGAGAATGTGAAACCCAGCAATATTCTTGGGAAGAACTGTGCCTTGCTTTTCTCTGTGAAGAGAAATGTGGCTACGGGAAAACATGCACAACAACGTGGGCATTTCATCCCGTGGACACGTTAAAATCCAATTCCTAATATCTGGCAGCACAGTAATAATTATAGTGCTCATAACACTCATTGAATGCAGCGGGGCTGGGCCCATCACTGCAGAAGTGTCTCTGGAGGACAGTTGCAAGCCCCCATTACAATCATCCCCACAGAAGTGAGTGGTGCTGGCAGCAGCACAAATCACCTCCTGCCAGAGCAGCTCCCAGAGCTGTTAGGGGAGCACACATCACACCCTGCTGCTGACAATAAAGGAGCTGCTCGCTGCACTCAGGCTTTTTATTATTTGTTTCCCCCTAATTACACTAATTTCCAGACAACACTGATGGCAGACCAGCAGCATTTGCTCATTCACCAAAGCAGCTCTTGATGCCAGGTCAGGCTTAAAAATAGAC